AGCGAGGCGCGGGAGCAACACCGAGGGTTGCGATCCCGTTGCCGGTCCCGGTCCGGTACAGGGGCGACACTGAGGGTTGTGATCCGTTGCCGGACACGGAAAAAGACAAAAAAAAAAGAAAAAAAACCCTCCAGAAACTTATAAGCATCTGATTGTAAGCCCTAGAATTTTTGACTTTCATTAATTCATTTCATGGTCCTCATGCTTATCTCTGTATTAGAGTTTGTATGGTTTTCTTATTTATTTTTATATTATTTTAATATCTAGGAGGTTTTTTGTTGTTTGTTTCTATTATTGTCCAATAGTCTAACTAAATCTCTAAGAAAGTAGGCTTGTTAGCCTTGGTATTAGTTTGGTTCATAAAATATGTTGATTAAAAGCACAGTAATGAAGCAATGTGTTTTTGGCACATGAAACCTACATGGTTGTCCATTTCCATTCCCCAAGTTGTCAATAAAATAGTTCTCAAGTATGATTTTTGGTTAGTGTACATTGACTTCTGCTGTGTGTCTGCATGGAGGCAGTTTTAAATTTTATCTCAAAGTCCATCCATAGACACCTGTAACCTGTTTTTCTTCGAGAGGGTCTTTGGATTAGCATATCTGTAATGCAGTCCATCATAATCTGTGTGATTTTCTGTACAGGAAATTAAATAAGGAGTTGAGTCATGAAAACAGAAAAGCATTCATAAACTCCACTGCAGGGAAGAATTTCCTGTTGCCATGGTTTTGCTGTTGCTAACTTGGAAAAAACGTGCAAGAGAGACTATTAAAACCCATAAATAACCTAGCTTCTTAAATATTATTTTAACGTTCTGTACTGTGCTTGCAACTGCATAAAATGTCAAATCTTGATATGTCCTTAAACTCTTTTTATCCTGATATTCCAGTATTCACCCTTTACAGTTTATTCATGTTGTCCCAATTTGTTGTGCTATATAAAGTATTGTAACTACAAAGAACTATTGGAAGGATCTAGGAAGAGGAAGTATCATAAGCACACTGATTCTGTAAATGAATGGTCAGATTGGGAGTTGATAAGCTAGTGTATTATTTGTGTATTTACACATCCCCAGCCATGTCTTTTTTTTCTTTTTTTGGCAGCTACCATCCACCTCCTCCCCTCCCAGCCACCTCTTGATGATGAAGGGCAGTGTGAGGAATGCATAGGTAGGATATAGTTAGGCAGTGTAGCATCTAGTAAGGCAGTAGAATAAGAAAATAAGTACTTTGTGCACAGTTTGCTTGAATATCTCAACAATTGCAAAGGCTAGAGGGGGGTGAGCCTAGATTAGCAAACAGCCTGAAACTGCAACGTTTTAGACTTATATAAATACATTCAGCAGGGAAGGGAGTTCTTTTTTACTGAACTACTCTCTTTTAAGTAGTCCAACTTTTTTGGGTGTTATCTCCTGAGAAGGATTCATTGTTTCCTTTTCTGTCTTTTCATTGTATCAAGTTTCCTAAAATGAATGGAAAGTAGGAAAGTGTTTCCACTCTAAAGCCCCAAAGAAGGCAGCATGCAAATTTATCTTTTTTTTACCCCATGCTAATAGGGGCAAAAACTAGACAGGCCATTAGCCTTGTCATTTAAGCCCATATTAAATAATAACAGACCACCACAATAGGCAACAATCAACCTCTGCACACCCTAGCAGACTCTTAGTGGCCATGACACCCACAAAAATAAGACTTTGCTCTATGTGCTGTGATGTAATCTCAACACATTTTATCTAACTGTATTTCATGTCAAGAAAACTTTTTCTTTCAGTATAATCCTTAAAAAGGAAAAAAATGCTTTCCAGAACAAATATCCCTAAAGGATCATTCTCACTATAGATGTCACTTGCACCTGTGGATTTGTAGTTTTCATCTAATTAAAATATTGTTTGCCATTATTTAATTCTCTGTTTTTTACCTTCAGTTCTATCTCCCTTCCTTCTGAGTCTCCAGTTACACATATGTTATAGCACTCACTAGTGTATTATAGGTTAATGAGGCCCTGTTCATTGATTGATTGATTGATTGGCTGTGGCTAACCAGTTCAGGGATCTAAACCCTTGACCTTGCTGTTATAACACCATGATCTAACCAGCTGATTATTTTTTTTTTCAACTTTTTTTTTTTGTTTGGTTTTTATTTATTTATTTATTTTTTTCCTTTTTGTCTTTTTTACTGACCGGTAACGGGATCGCAACCCTCAGTGTCGCGCCTGTACCGGGGACTGGCAACGGGATCACAACCCTCGGTGTTGCGCCCGCACCACACTCAGCCAGTGAGCGGGAACCGGTCTCCACATGGGATCCGAACCCTCGGCGGGAGCTCCACCGCGCTCCCAAGTGGCGCACTCTCCAGTGCGCCACCGGGCCGGCCCATTTTGTTTGGTTTTTAAATCTGTGCTTCAGTTTGGATAATTCCTGTTAATATGTCTTCAAGCTCATTGTGTTTTTCTTTTCTTCCCAGTGTCTTAAACAGTTGTTAATACAATCCAATGAAATTTTCATTTAAGATACTGTAATTTTCAGGGGCCAGAAGTTGCTTTTGGTAATCTTTTCTTATATCATTAGGTTCATGTTAGCCTTTAAATCCTTCCTTGAACATATTTATAATAGTTGTTTTAAAGTCTTCAACTGCTGATTCCATCATCTCTGTCATGCATGTTGGGTTTCTATCTTTTAATGGATTTTCTCCTGCCTTGGGTTACATTTTATAGCTTCACACATCTGGTTATTTTTGATTAGATATCGGATATTGTGAGTGTTTCATTGTTGAATGTCTGGATTTTATTGTCTGTTTTAAAGAGTGTTGGGTTTTGTTTTAGCAGGCAGTTAACAGAACAGCTTAATCTTTATGAGTCTTGTTTTTCAGCTTTGTTAAGGTATACCTAGAGTAGCCTTTACTCTAGCTAATTTAGTCTTGCTAAGGCATGACTTCTTGTACCTAAATACCTGCATATTCAGTGAGGTGTCTATACTGTGCTTGGTCAGAACTAGAATGTCTTCCAACCTTGTGTGTGCTGCAGGAATTGTTTGGCTTACATTTCTCTGGTAGATGTTCTTTCCCTAATGGTTTTTCTTTGTGTGGCTTTGGGAATTCAGCTCCATGTGTATGCAGCTTATTATTCAGCAGTAGGGGAATGGACTCAGATCATGCAGAATTGCTCATAGATAGTTGCATAAATTTTATTACATTTAGCTGAATGTTAGGGTGATTAAAAACTCCAGAAACTCGGGCTGGCCCGGTGGCGCACTGCTATAGTGCGCCGCTTGGGAAGCACGGTGGCGCTCCCGCCGAGGGCTCGGATCCCACATACAGACCGGTTCCCGCTCACTGGCTGAGCGAGGCGC